TTCAGTCTTAGTCCATTCAGCTAGTGACTAATTTTTTGATCTTGGTGTTTCTGACCCAAGATATCAAAATCAATTTTGATGATGTCTTTTCAGTCTTAGTCCATTCAGCTAGTGACTACCTTGATCTTGGTGTTTCTGACCCAAGATATCAAAATCAATTTTGATGATGTCTTTTCCTCTTAGTCCATTCAGCTAGTGATGACCTTGATCTTGGTGTTTCTGACCCAAGATATCAAAATCAATTTTGATGATGTCTTTCAGTCTTAGTCCATTCAGCTAGTGACTACCTTGATCTTGGTGTTTTGACCCAAGATATCAAAATCAATTTTGATGATGTCTTTCAGTCTTAGTCCATTCAGCTAGTGACTACCTTGATCTTGGTGTTTCTGACCCAAGATATCAAAATCAATTTTGATGATGTCTTTCAGTCTTAGTCCATTCAGCTAGTGACGATATTTTGATCTTGGTGTTTTTGACCCAAGATATCAAAATCAATTTTGATGATGTCTTTCAGTCTTAGTCCATTCAGCTAGTGACTACCTTGATCTTGGTGTTTTCTGACCCAAGATATCAAAATCAATTTTGATGATGTCATTCAGTCTTAGTCCATTCAGCTAGTGACTGACCTTGATCTTGGTGTTTTGACCCAAGATATCAAAATCAATTTTGATGATGTCATTCAGTCTTAGTCCATTCAGCTAGTGACTCAACCTTTGATCTTGGTTTTTCTGACCCATAGATATAAAAATCAATTTTGATGATGTCATTCGAGTCTTAGTCCATTTAGTGACGGACCTTGATCTTAATGAAAAAAGACCCAAGATATCAAAACGAAAAAAAATGATGTCATAAACGTTGTCCATAAAAGCTAGGTGACTACCTTTTGATTGGTGTTTTGACGAAAAGAATCAAAAAAATTTGTGATGTCATCAATTTTGATGATCTTGGTGTCAAACCCAAGATATTTTAGTCCATTCTAATGGCTGAATTCTCGTTAATGGCTGCCTATATTTGGTTCTTGACCATAAGATATCAAAATCAATTTTGATGATGTCATTTAAAGAACAAAAAAGTCCATTCAGCTAGTGACGACTTTGATCTTGGTGGAAACTGACCCAAGATATCAAATTCCGTTTTAATGATGTCATTCAGTCTTAGTCCAATAAGAGTGGTGGATTGGTAATATTGACCCAAGATATCAAAATCTTTGTCCATTCAGTATTTTAGTCCACTATGATAACCATGATCTAAAAGTTTTAAACCCAAGATATCAAAATTAATCTTGATGATGATGAAGAAAATATTGTCATTCAGTAAATGACTGTAATTTTTGAGTCCAGGTTTATCAAGTACAAAAGTGATTTTATCGCTCTTTCTTAATTCCATTAACTTTTGTTTGAAGTGGTGTTTGATCTTGATTTTGTCATTGTTTTCTCTTTTCCAAACTATTATCACTCTTTCAGGTGATTAATCAAGTTTCCTTCCAACCTTTTTGTTTTGAAGTAAGTGTGCTATGTCAAAACATCTTGATTAGTCATTATTTTCTCTTCTCGGTGACCAGTAGATGATCTTCCTCTTTCAAGTATTAATCAATTTTGGTTTCCTTCCCTAGTCCAAATTTGTGCAAATATCAAATATTGATGATGTCATCTTCTCAGCTAGTTTAGTCCTATTCTTTCCAAGTATTAATCAATTTTGATGGTTTCCATCCCTTTGATTTTGTTTTGAAGTAGTGTCAGATATCAACATCTTGATTATGTCATTATTTTCTCTTTTCATCCAAGATATCGAAAAACTGTTATGACTCTTTCCTCTTATTGATCGATCTTTCCTTCCTAACCTTTTGTTTGAAGATATCAAAAATGTCAACATCTTGATTATGTCATTATTTTCTCTTGTATGCCCAGATTTATTATCCTCTTTCCATTATTATCTTGGAGGTTTCCTTCCAACCTTTTGTTTGAATTCAGTGTGGAATGTCAACATCTTGATTATGTCATTATTTTCTCTTCTCATGCCCTTAGTAGCTGTTATGACTCTTTCCAGTATTGAATCAAGGTTTCCTTCAAAAACCTTTTGTTTCCAAGTAGTCTTTGTCAATGTCAACATATTGATTTGTCATTATTTTCTCTTCTCAAGGAAACCCAGTAGCTGTTATCACTCTTTCCAGTTTTGATCGAGGTTTCCTTCCTAACCTTTTGTTTGAAGTAGTGAAAAATGTCAACATCTGGATTATGTCATTATTTTCTCTTTTCAAAATCAGTAATGATTATCACTCTTTCCAGTATTGATTGAGGTTTCCTTGAACTTTTTGTTTTTTGCAGTAATGCTATGTCAAAAAACATCTTGATTATGTCAAATTATTTTCTCTTTTCATGCCCAAACGTTATTTATCACTCTTTCCAGTATTAATCGAAGTTTCCTTCCTAACCTTTTTGTTTTGAAGTCGTGTGAAATGTAACCGCAAAAACATCTTGATTATGTCATTATTTTCTCTTCCATGCCCTTGCATTTTCTTTTCATGCTGTTATATCACTCTTTTCCATTATTAATCGAGGTTTCCTTCCTAAGCTTTTTTGTTTGAAGTCGTGTGGAATGTCAACATCTTGATTATGTCATTATTTTCTCTTTCATGCCCAGTATCTGTTATTACTCTTTCCAGTATTGATCGAGGTTTCCTTCCTAACCTTTTTGTTTGAAGTGCATCAAATGTCAAAACATCTTGATTATGTCATTATTTTTTCTCTTTTCATGCCCAGTAACTGTTATCACTCTTTCCAGTATTAATCGAAGTTTCCTTCCTAACCTTTTGTTTGAAATCGTGTGAAATGTCAACATCTTGATTATGTCATTATTTCTCTTCTCATGCCCAGTAACTGTTATCACTCTTTCCAGTATTGATTGAGGTTTCCTTCCTAACTTTTTTTTTCATAAGTAGTGCTCCAATTAATCGATGTCAACATCTTTATTATGTCATTATTTTTTATTTTTTCATGCCCAGTAGCTGTTATCACTCTTTCCAGTATTAATCAAAGGTTTCCTTCCTAACCTTTTTGTTTGAAGTGTGCAATGTCAACATCTTGATTATGTCATTATTTTTCTTTTTTCATGCCCAGTAGCTTGTTATCACTCTTTCCAGTATTGATCAGAGGTTTCCTTCCTAACCTTTTGTTTGAAGTAGTGTGGAATGTCAACATCTTGATTATGTCATTATTTTCTCTTCTCATGCCCAGTAGCTGTTATCACTCTTTCCAGTATTGATCGAGGTTTCCTTCCTAACCTTTTGTTTGAAGTAGTGTGGAATGTCAACATCTTGATTATGTCATTATTTTCTCTTTTCATGCCCAGTAACTGTTATCACTCTTTCCAGTATTAATCGAAGTTTCCTTCCTAACCTTTTGTTTGAAGGTGAAATGTCAACATCTTGATTATGTCATTATTTTCTCTCTTCACATGTAGCAGCTGTTATCACTCTTTCCATTATTAATCGAGGTTTCCTTCCTAAGCTTTTTTGTTTGAAGTCGTGGAATGTCAACATCTTGATTATGTCATTATTTTCTCTTCTCATGCCCAGTATCTGTTATTACTCTTTCCAGTAATTAGGTTTCCTTCCTAACCTTTTGTTTGAAGTAGTGTGGAATGTCAACATCTTGATTATGTCATTATTTTCTCTTTTCATGCCCAGTAACTGTTATCACTCTTTCCAGTATTAATCGAAGTTTCCTTCCTAACCTTTTGTTTGAAATCGTGTGAAATGTCAACATCTTGATTATGTCATTATTTTCTCTTCTCATGCCCAGTAACTGTTATCACTCTTTCCAGTATTGATTGAGGTTTCCTTCCTAACTTTTTGTTTGAAGTAGTGTGCTATGTCAACATCTTTATTATGTCATTATTTTCTCTTTTCATGCCCAGTAGCTGTTATCACTCTTTCCAGTATTAATCAAGGTTTCCTTCCTAACCTTTTGTTTGAAGTAAATGTCAACATCTTGATTATGTCATTATTTTCTCTTTTCATGCCCAGTAGCTGTTATCACTCTTTCCAGTATTAATCGAGGTTTCCTTCCTAACCTTTTGTTTGAAGTAGTGTGCAATGTCAACATCTTGATTATGTCATTATTTTCTCTTTTCATGCCCAGTAGCTGTTATCACTCTTTCCAGTATTGATCGAGGTTTCCTTCCTAACCTTTTGTTTGAAGTAGTGTGCAATGTCAACATCTTGATTATGTCATTATTTTCTCTTTTCATGCCCAGTAACTGTTATCACTCTTTCCAATATTAATCAAGGTTTCCTTCCTAACCTTTTGTTTGAAGTAGTGTGCAATGTCAACATCTTGATTATGTCATTATTTTCTCTTCTCATGCCCAGTAGCTGTTATCACTCTTTCCAGTATTGATCGAGGTTTCCTTCCTAACCTTTTGTTTGAAGTATAGTGGAATGTCAACATCTTGATTATGTCAGTATTTACTCTTCTCATGACCAGTAGCTGTTATCACTCTTTCCAGTATTGATCCAGGTTTCCTTCCTAACCTTTTGTTTGAACTAGTGTGGAATATCAACATTTTGTTTATGTCACTATTTTCTCTTCCAGTTACATGTGCTATCTATTTTAATTATTGCTGATGTCTAAAGTCATCAAGTGTGTGATTTCTGTTGTTTGGTACAATTCTTTAGCAGTAGCACCCGTCCTCAAATTTCGAAGAATGATGAATCCCGCTCAAAGACCTACATGTTACATTCACTCGAATTTATTTTAATCATTGCTCTGAGAAAGCGTTTGTATACAGGTGACACTTTAGATATTTCCTCAACATGTTTGATGCCATGCACGACATCCACGTGACAGTCTCGATCCGATGAAGTTGTTTAAGAACATATCACTAGTTCAGCAGTTAATGTTTTAGTTTTGTACCAATTTGTGGTGTTCGGCGCAATTACCCCTATTGCAATCTATCCTTGTTCAATTTCCTTATCTCGTATACTAAATTTGCTATAAAGCTTACGGCCACATCATGTTGAAACGCCAGTTCACGTATGATCATCGAAGTTAAGAAACATCAAGCCTGGTCAGTATCTAGATGGGTCACCACTTGGGAATACCATGAGCGGATGGTGTAAAGTTAATGGCTCGCAATTAATAATCGGAGAGCCAATTTCCAATTCCAGTCGGGTTTTTTATTCCTTTATGTTCAAATACCCTTCGAAAATGTATTTGATTCCACTTTTCTCCCCCATATATGGGTTAATTAGTAAGACTTTTATCACTAAGACATTGTTATCTCCAAACTTCTTACACTATAAAAATATTTCGTTGATATGACGTAAAAAGCGAATCAAACAATCAACTTTGTTATAATTGCTCCATACACCAAGGTATTTGAAGTGTTTAGTGTTCATTTATTTCACTTCCCGATCATAGTTTTCATTTTTTGAAAGAATATAATTCAACAGAATCAATTTTTTTTTTTCAATTGGATAATTCTACAAGTGTTTGGATTGGTGTTTGTTTTGTTGTGTTTTACGGTATATCAACCTCAATGGGTCATTTAATGCCGACAACCTTTTTTTTTTAATATTTTTGTTTTGTCAAAAATCTATTTCTGTTAACATATTTTTCTTCAAAAATGTATAGCTGGTAATATTATTTTTTTCAATGATGTATAGCTGGTAATATTATTTTTTCAAAAACGTATAGCTTGTAACATTATTTTTTTCAAAAATGTAGAGCTGGTAATATTATTTTTTTCAAAAATATATAGCTGGTAATATTATTTTTTTCAAAAACGTATAGCTGGTAATATTTTTTTCTTCAAAAATTTATTTCTGGTAATAATCTTTTACAAAGTATTTCTGGTATTAAAACCTATTTTTACACTTTTATAATGCTTTTTACCTCCGTTTCGGGGTTAACTATTTGCCCATAGCTGGGACCCTAACAGGTGCTACCACCCCTAGTCAGAGTGGACTTGGGAACACCAGCAATTAAGAGGAGGTTCCACGCTTCTCAAAACCTCCTGATCAGAGGCCTGGCTGCTGGACGTAGTTTAGCGTCTTACCCTGGACGCCGATGTAGTTTATCGTCGTACCCAGGACACGATGTGGGATGTGGTGTCATGGATAGCAGTTCGGAATGAAAAATCGAATAGCCGACTTCTGTATTCCAATCGAATTTGTTAAATTAAACTTGGCAAAGTTCTGAATCAATCTCTTCTCCTCACTCTTCGGGTGAATAAAAATAAAGACTGACTTCTATAGACTTGGTTATCAACTAGTCTACCCCAGAAAGAAACGCCAACCTGCTACGGAAAAATCATATGATTCAAAATGTAGTCAATTATGAATCAAAAGAGATACGATCGCCCAAATGTGTATCACGATGGCACTTAACTAACTAACTGAGTGATAATGTCGTAAAGTCCAACAACACACCTGAGAAAAGGAAATAATCGAACGACAAGCCAGAATAAAGAAAAGATTCATAATTTTGATTACTTCGTCTTGAGACAATTCTTAACAATCTAGTTTTGGAAACCATTACTTCACTCGTGAATGACTGATTGATTTGTATTTTACGGCTTATCAACCCTTCTTAAGTTATTTAAAGCCGAAACCTATTTTTTGGCTCATAAGAATATTATTTTTCAATATTGCGTTAACATTTTGTTGGTGATAATGATTTTTTCCGGATAAAATCTATTTAATCCATAGCTGGGGAGAAGAGATCAATTCATACTTTTCATAAAGTCTTCTTTTTCGCATAACAGGATAAAACAATCTCCACTGGAATTCGAACTTGATTCTCAAATTTCTCATTGCGAGCCGCTATCCCTTACACCAGTCGCACATCCACTGCTTTCTGTGATCTCACATTGATGGCCTTATTTGGACTTCTTTTTTCTTTCTTTCTTTCTCTCTCTATTTTAGTTATCTTTCTTTCTTTCTTTCTTTCTTTCTTTATTTATTTATTTATTTATTTTAACTTTCTCTATTTTACCTTTCTTTCTTGCTATCTTTCTTTCTCTAATTTGCCTTTCTTTCTTTCTATATTTTACCTATCTTCCTCCATTTTGCCTTTTTTTCTTTATTTTACATATCTTTCTTTCTATATTTCAATATCAATCAAAAAGCTAAGACCAGTCTCTTTCTTTCTTTATTTCTCTCTCTCTCTCTCTCTCTCTCTCTCTCTCTCTCTCTCTCTCTCTCTCAGCTCTACAGAATACCTTCCACCCTGGATCCTGTGATACACGTCCCTTCTGGTCCTCTCTAAATCGCCTCCGAACAACGGCTGGTCGCGGTAAAGCCAACCTTTAGAACTGGAGATATGCCACCGATGTTACCAACGCGGGCAATCACACACTATGGAACATCTTGTAGTTTGGCCCAATCTTGAAGATCCATGCACACTTAACGACTTCGAAACCGAAACACTTCCCAGGCAAAGATCTGTTTGCAACACTGGATGGGTGTCGTCTAGCGACTCACTGGGAAGTGATGCCACGTATGGAAGGATGTGTAATATTTTTTAAAACGTATGTTGATAAAATCCAGTCTAGGGCGCGAGAAATTAGGAAATATGAAAAAAGTAATAAAGGGATAAGAAATCAAAGAAAATGATAGCCCTCCACCACCACCACCACCACCACCAAAAAAAAAAAGTAAGAAAACGAAATAGGTCGAAAATAATTGTGAAAGTGGGGCTACCAGCGGCGTAGTCATTAAGGGTGCAAAAAAAAGTGCATGGGAATCGATCCGAGGCGAGGGGTGGCGTGTACGGAAAGGAACTGAGACATATTGCATATAAAAGTGAAAGATGATGATGATTATAATTCTATAAGTTTTGAAGAGAGTGCGTGGAGGAAAAATGCAGTTGTGAAATTGGCCACATGCTCAAGACGAGTTCTTTTATGAGAATGGGAAGGCATCAAACGAGCGATTAACTTACCATATATATATATATATATATATATATAGAGAGAGAGAGAGAGAGAGAGAGAGAGAGAGAGAAGGAGAGAGAGACAGACAGACAGACAGACAGAGAAAGGTGGATAGATAGATAGATAGATAACGAATAAACTCTGATAGATAGATAGATAGATAGATAGATAGATAGATAGATAGATAGATCGAAAGGAAGAAGATAGATAGATAGATAGATAGATAGATAGATAGATAGATAGATAGATAGATAGAAAGGAAGAAAATAGATAGATAGATAGATAGATAGATAGATAGATAGATAGATAGATAGAAAGGAAGAAAATAGATAGATAGATAGAAAACATTTAGCTAGAAAGATACGTCGAGAATATAACAATAAAGATGAAGACAACAGTTCGAACAAAGTAAATAGTTACAATACCTCATCTCAGAAATATAAACAGATCTTTAAAAAGGCTGGGGCGTACAACGGCCGAAATATCGTGAATATGGCGGCAAAGATGACGACTGCAGTAGCTTACAACATTGAGAAGAGATAGCCGGAGACACATGTACGAATGGTCTAGAGATTCAAGAGACAACTCTCTAGCCAGCGGGAGATGGTCCTTGACATAAACTCTAAGGCCATGCATGTGGGTTTGAGAGTTTTTTCTAAGAAGGGGGGTAGCCGGGGATCGAGAGGTCAGAGGAGGGGATAGACGAGTCAAGGTTGGTCTCACACAGAGCCAGTATATCTGGGTAGTTCGCAATGAGGAAACTGCAGAACACTGCAGAAATTGGTTCTAATGCCACGAATGTTGGAAAATTAAATAAAGGGTTTAAGGTGATTTTTTAAGACCTGGTTTAGTTTTCATTTTCTGATCGTCGTTAGTCATGTGAAAATGTGAAAATTCATCATGTGAAATTGTGGTTGTAAAAATGAGAAGGTCTGAAGTAAAAGAAACAGATCGTTTTCGACAGTGAGGTGGGCAGAGAGAAGTTGGCACAGCCTGCAACATAATGTGGCCTCCGGGTTGCCTACCGGCAGTGAATGCAAGGACTCCTTTCCATGCGTGACATGGCACTACAGACACCCCGGTATTATGCAACTCTTATGCAACCGCTCAAGACGCTACGCAAGAGTTAGGCCTCCTAACTACAATTCGGAAACAGCAACCAGAACACTGTCAACCGTGTACCCTCATAATGAAGAGGTAATGCCACAGACTGCACACATCACAGGAGAAAAACGGCAGCACTAGTACAGAGGCCAGAGAGAAACAGTTCCTGGAACCCCTTACTAAACAAGAAACAGGGTGTGAGCCTCTACTTTTGTCCAAAAGAAGGGGGAAGAGTATTAACCGGATGCTAGGAATGCCTACCTACACCTATTACATATAACACAAACGACAACAACAACAAAAACAACAAAAAAAATGGCAATCTACTGCGGAAAAAATCTGCATCGTCAGTCATGTATCGAAAGATACATGATCGCCTACGCATGTATCACGCATGGCACTTAACTGAAATATAAATTTTAATTAAAATAATTATCGCAACGGTAAATGTAATGTAATTTTTTAAGGAAAACAGGTTTCTCAGGTACAGTAGCTGTTATCGCTCTTTTCAGTAATGACGAGGGAGTTTCCTTCCTAAGCTTTTGTTTGAAGTAGTGTGGAATGTCAACATCTTGATTATGTCATTATTTTCTCTTCTCATGCCCAGTAGCTGTTATCACTCTTTCCAGTATTGATCGAGGTTTCCATACTAACCTTTTTTTTGAAGTAGTGTGCAATGTCAACATCTTCATTATGTCATTATTTTCTCTTCTCATGCCCAGTAGCTGTCATCACTCTTTTCAGTATTGATAGAAGTTTCCTTCCTAACCTTTGGTTTGAAGTAGTGTGGAATGTCAACATCTTCATTTCGCCATTATTTTCCCTTCTCATACTCACTAGCTGTTATCACTCTTTCCAGTGTTGATCGAGGTTTCCTTCCTAACCTTTTGTTTGAAGTAGTGTTGAAATCAATGTCTAAATTATGACACTAATTTCTCTTCCCGTTACATGTGGTATTTATTTTACTTGTTGCTGATGTCTAAATTCATCAAGTGATGTGAATTTTATTTTAATTTTGGAGATAATGATGGTTTAATGATGCACGTTTTACTAATTAACCCATAGTTGTGGGCTGACAAGAGGTGGATCCATAGCTTTCCGAGGGGTATTTGCGCGTAAGTGAGCATAACGAAACCAATTGCGCATCAAACCTTAGAGGACCAGGTATTCCCAAGCGGTCACCCATCTAGGTACTGACCAAGCTCGACGTTACTTAACTTTGCTGATCGCACGCGAATCAGTGTTTCACGGTGATGGGGCCGCAAGCCTAATATTACAAAGAGATAATGTGCATAAAAACTGAATTTTTAAAATGTAACATATTAGCTGTCTATTTCTTCGAGATAAAGTATTATGATTACTTGCATTATTTACATTATTCGGACTGTTATCCTCATCTTTATTGCTATATTCAAAACGTTTCGGCCTTCTTCAAGTGTTTGGGAATTGGGACCGAAGTCTTTATTTCGTCCAACGGGGTAGATTGTTCTAGTTCCATGTGCCATGTCTCTTTTGGATATTTCAGTTATTTCCCTTTAACTCAACACTCCAAGTTTTTTTTTTTTTTTTTTTTTTGTTCACCACCGCTGTGGCCTGGTATCATCGGTTTAGACCCCCACAAGGCTAGTGGTGGAGATGGGATACCAGCCATTGTCCTGAAGAAATGTACGCTTAAACTGGCCGCTACCCTCTCCAAATTATATAACTACTGCCTCAAATAATCTTGTTTTCCAGACTGTTGGAAGTCCTCATCCATTGTTCCTGTCTTTAAGACCGTTCTGACCCTTCTAATTACCGTCCTATCAGTCTCCTTCCCCTCTTCGGTAAATTCTTCGAAGCTTTAATCAACGCCGAAGTGGTTAATCACCTTACATCCCATGATCTGCTCTCCGACAAGCAATATGGTTTCCGCTATGCCCGTTCTACAGCTGATATGCTTACGGCCATCACTGAAATTGTTTACCAAGCCCTTCATAATAACGGAGACACTCGTGCCGTGGCCCTTGACATCTCCAAAGCGTTTGATAGGGTTTGGCATGCCGGCCTTCTTCGCAAGCTTCAGGGTTATGGAATTCCAGGTGGAATGTTTGACTTAGTACAATCATTCCTGTCAAACCATGTACTGAAGGTCGTCCTCAACGGATTCCCCTCCAGCTTCTATCCCACAAACGCAGGTGTTCCCCAAGGCTCCACCCTAGGCACTACTCTGTTCCTTATCTTCATCAACGATCTTCCAGACGTCATAGATTCCCAAATAGGCATCGACGCGGACGACACTACAATTTACTCCTGCCTCAAAAATAAATCTAATGTCGTTGACAAAACTAAACTAGCCATCCATCTCGGAAAGGACCACCAATCGTTTGTGAACTGGGGCAGGAATTGGCTGGTTAACTTTAACGCCTCAAAAACAAAACTGTTCTCTATTACTCATCATAGAGAACCATCCCTGCCCCTCCCCCATTAGAAGTTCCTCTTTGCGACTACTCGGTCTCACATTGACTGCTGACCTGAGATGAAACAAATACATTAAGTCAATAGCTTCGTCCACCGCAAGTAAAGTTGGCTCCCTGTGCCGCGCCAGGAAAATTTTCTCGCCGGAGTCAATCCTTCAAATCTACAAATCAACCATTTGCCCTTGCATGGAGTATTGCTGCCATATATAGTCTGGGGCCCCTTCTGTTTGTCTCAAGATCCAGAGACAGATATGCAATGTAATTGGCCCTTATCTGGCATCTCGTCTGCAGTCGCTCTCTCACAGACGTGCCTTCGCCTCCCTCTGTCTTTTTTACAAATACTTTCACGGTAATTGCTCCGATGAGCTGCTTTCGCTGGTTCCCAGACTTCATGAATTCAAGCGTTCCACTAGGCTGGCATCCCGCTCTCACCCTTTCACTGTCGAAACTGTTAAATGTAACCGTCTCTTCTTCTCCAATAGCTTCATGTCTCGCACCTCTCACCTGTGGAACTCCCTCCCATTTTCCTGTTTCCCTGATAGCTATAATCTCCAACTATTCAAATGTAATGTCAATCGACGTCTCCAGATGCCTTGATCTATCCCCTACCTTTCTCTTCATCCTTTCCTCTATCACTCCTCTTTGCTCTCACTCCAACTCTCTGTAACCCCTTGCGTGCTCTTGGCTTCCTGCCTTGCTTGAGATGAAACGCTTAAAATATATATATATATATATATATATATATATATATATATATATGCGTGTGTGTGTGTGTGTATACGTGTGTATGTATGCGAGTGTGACAGGATACCCCTTTACGTTTTGAATAGAATTGTCTCGCTTTGTCTTAACTAAATTCCACACGTTCCTGATTACATCGGATTGATAGAATCAATACGGATCCTTCTTAGTAGAGTCGATCGCGCACGCGCGTGAACACACCTACACACTCACGGACGCACATACACACAACAGACATACACAGAGAGACACACCCTTAACACACTTACGCAATGCCAACGCTTGATACATAAAATGCGATAATCCAGATTTCTTGAGTAAAAACTTTCTTTAAGGTTTAAATATAAAACTTTCTTTGAAACAAAAACAAAAAAAAGGATGTTTCCAGCCTCAAGTATATTGCATAACCAAGGTTCCTAAAAACTTGAAATGTCGACGATGTAAGAAACCACTTGAAAACACTCCTTGAGAGTTCTTCAGGTTCTCTCCATGCAATGTATTGCTGTAATCACTTGCTTTTTTTTACGTTATCATGAAGCAAATGTGAAAGGTAGCTTGCTGACGAAATCTTCAATAATACGCCCACAAGACGCTGGCGTATTGGATATAGGACAGGATTATTTATATGTTATTTTCATCTGGGCACCTCGAGGTGGTGTAATAATTAACAAGCTTGTCTAAAACAATTACGACTGAGCAGTGAGTTCGATCCTCACTGGGCGTCCCATACTTTCGGCCTTGTGCCACATAAGCTACGTTTGGAAAATCACTATGTTATTTTCATCTAGTGGGGGTGATTTCATTCCCTGGATAAGTTAGTGAAACGCCGCTTCAGCAGGAACGCACAATAACTGATATCACAGGGACAAAACATCGCATTAACCAACAAATAAATCATAATAATAAATCAATAAACACCTGATGATTACCAGTGTGTAATTGGTCGAAACATTGTAATAACATCTATATTAACCAAGATGATATTATTGTTATGGGTTATTTCTCATCTTGGTTGATATAGATGAGAACAATATTTTGAAATAATAAGAATATATTCACAATTACTTATCTCGGAAATGAAATATACCAAGCGTAACGGTAAAATTGTCCAAATCATGTAGCAACATAATTTTCCATCCCACAAAATGTTTAATATCTAAACAAAACACTAAACTAATAGGGTTTATTTTTTCCAAATTTTCAGATAAGACGTTTAGCCATCTTGACAACATTTGTCGTCAGAACCAATGAAAAACCTTCTGAGTTATTCAGCTACAAAGTGAACAGGTTAAAATCGTTTTGTTTGTATCTCACTATGTCTTCCCAACTGAGCAATGGTGAGAGAAAAAAGATCATTCAGGTCTTCAGTAATGATACCAAAATTCAAACACTAGCTTTCATCAATCAAGTTCCAATCAAGAACCATGAATATGTCTAAGATAGAAGGCAAAAGGAACAGAGGCAAACCACGCATAACCTATTAATGAGCTTCAGCTAGCGGAACAGGTTTAGTGATAGGCTACTTCAATAATTAAATGTATAAGAGTATTTTAGAGTACATGAAATAATGGTGGTGAAAAAGAATACAAAATAACAGACCAATTGATTTACAATGCAAGATAATATTTATTAAACAAAAATCAATAAAAAGAAAGTTTAAAACAAGAATTTCTTTTGTTAGAATTTAAATGCATACACAACAAAATATTCATGAATATATTCGAGTGAGACTTACTTTGTTGATGTGTTTTAGCGTGAAGCGTTCACAGCCCTTTTAGCTTCAACGTGGAAGTTCAGTTCGAAAAAGGAAATCCCGGAATAAAGAATATGTGAGCAGCGATGAAGTATTGCAGAAAATGAAAACAAAAAGAAAATTTATGCTTCATCGGATACAGACGGGACAGACCTAAGGCAAGAAGAACAGAGGCAAACAACACATAACCTATTAATGAGCTTGAGTAAATGGATAGTGGAACATGTTTAGTGATTGGTTACTTCAATAATTAAATGTATAAGGTTGTTTATAGGAACGGGAGCTGGAGGCCTATTGCATATTACTGGAGCGACAGTAGCTGGAGGCTTATTGGAAAGGACTGGGGTGATGGCAGCTGGAGGCCTATTGGAAATGGCTGGAGCGACAGGAGCCGGAGGCCTATTAAAGATAGCGGGAGTGATAGGAGTTGGAGGCTTATTGGAAATGGCTGGAGCGACAGGAGCTGGATGGTCATGGGGATGGCTGGTGCCATGGGAGTTTGATGCCTATTGGAGATGGCTGGAGCGGGAGGAGCTGGAAGCTTATTGGGGATGATGATGGCTGATTAGGCAGAACTGCTGCAGATGGCTGGAGTCGTAGACTGTCTGTTAGTTGCTATTGATGCGACAGATACTATGACCCAATTCATCTGGGCCGCCGAAATGTACTGCTTTTGAGGCCTCTTTATATCCTTAATCAATCTTACAACAACATTAGTTAATCTTTTCCCAACAGGATGTGACAATGGCTCTTTCCATTACTGATGGGGTTACCTTCCTAATCTTTTCTTTGATGTAATGTGGAATATCAACATTTTGGTTATGTCATCATTTCTCCTTCTCGTTACAGGTTCTATCCATTTTAGTTGTTGCCGCTGTTGAAATTCTTCAAGAGATTTGTTTTCTCTTATTTGGCACTGTCCTTTATATTTTCTGTGAAGTAAATTCACGTCGTTCAAGAAGGGTGGTTCTCGCTGTGACCTTTTTACATTTTCCGTGTTTCACCACCAACATATTCGTTTCACAATGTGTGTAGTCAACAATAGTTAACAAAAGACAGAGGCAAAGTCGAGTCCTATAAACACGATTCAAATTCCCCCAAATTTGAAGTCATGCAGATACTCTATATATATATATATATATATATATATATATATATATATATATATATATATATATATGTAAGCAAATATATGGATATAGATCCGACGGTATGAAGAAAAATATACGGAAAAACAAACAAAAATCCTAATATGTAATTATGCTGTTTTAATGTTAATATATCAACGTCGGACGTTTCGGTCTAATAGACCATC